TGGCTTGGTGCCCACGAGGCGCCCGTTCATCTCTGTCACGGCCTTTGTCGCCTCTTCTAGGGAGGAAAAACACACAAAGCCAAACCCCTTGCCGTGGCTACCCTCTGTCATCACCTTCGCACTGGTAATCACTCCAGAGGGAGAGAACTCTTTCCTCAGTTTTTCGTCATCAATAGAGTCATCCAGGTTCTTCACGTGAATGTATAAAAATATACATTTATAATATATATTACATTAGTACATATAAATATATATGTACTAATATAATATATATAATTATATATTTTATATTATATATATATACACATATATATACATATATATTTTAATATATATGTATATATACACATATATTATTTATATAGATACATATATATGTATATATATATAAATATATATACATATATATTTATTTATATATTATAAATACAGATTTATATAAAATCTGCCACACATATGTTTGTGGCACACTCATTAGCAGGCATAAAACAGAAAGGAAAAAAAAAAAAAAAAAAAGGAAAAAAAAAAAAAAAAGAGGAAAAACAGAGCACTAGAAGGAAAAAAAAAAAAAAAAAAAAGGTCTTGGCCTCCCGCATGCTGGGATTACAGGCATGAGCCACTGTGCTTGGCATCTATTCATCTTTAATGCCAAGTAGGCAACTGAATATTCCGACCATGGATAGGATTGTTTACGTGGGGCACATAGACACACTCGAAGTCATGGATCTGGTGGAAATCACTGAAGGGGTGGCGTAGAAGAGGAGAGGGGTCCCAAGATCAAGCCAGCAAAGGAGGCAGGAAAGGCCCCAGGATGCAGGCCCTGGTGCTTCTCCTCTTGACTGGAGCCCTCCTCGGGAACAGCAGCCGCCAGAACCCCTCGGGCCGCCCGGAGGAGGGCTCCCCAGACCCCGACAGCACAGGGGTGCCGGTGGAAGAGGAGGATCCCTTCTTCAAGGTCCCTGTGAACAAGCTGGCAGCGGCGGTCTCCAACTTTGGCTATGACTTGTACCAGGTACAATCCAGCATGAACCCCAATGGCCAATGTGCTGCTGTCTCCACTCAGCGTGGCCACCGCGCTCTCCACCCTCTCGCTGGGAGCGGAGCAGCGAACGGAATCCATCAATCACCCGGCTCTCTGCTACGACCTC